GGCTTACGATCACAGTTGAGTCCAAAATTTTCATTGCTAAGTGAGGCAGTTTGGTGAGTCGTGCCTGAGTTGTGCCTCATTTGCACAAAGCGTTTTACCACAGTTAGCCGAATTGCTGCGATTGTTAACCAAAGTGTTAAGTTGTTCAGTGAATCGTGTGGTCGTTAAACGAATGTATTTTGATCACATGACCATGGAGATGCTGCAGTGGACATTAAGTGTAAAACATGGTCATAACTCACTTTTTTCAGTGCTGTTGTAACTTCAAATAGTCATCATTATTATTATTTAATGTATGGCATATCATACCTGGACTAGCAATGTACTGTATCTTAACATTCAACTAGATTAGGAGAACCCAATAAATATATTGGGTTATTGCAAATATATAATGTTAATATATATATTAACATTGAACTAGATTAGGAGAAACCAATAAACTCAATAAGCATTGTTTAGAGACCCCACACCCTTCATGGTCTGCTTTTGTTGATCCCCTCTGGGAGGAGGTTTCGAAGTATTTATAGCAGGACTACTAGATTCTGCAACAGCTTTGTTTCCTTATGCCATCCGTCTTGTAAATTCGCAGGATCCTTTTTTTGCCAGGTATATATATATATATTCGAACTAGATTGTGATGTTTCTTTGTGTCATATATGTGTGTGTCTATGTGGGTTTATGCAAAATAGCATTTTTTTGAGGGCTGAATGCAATGAAATTTCATTTTAATGTATGCTGATTAGTGTACATTTAAAGCGACAATAAAAATTTTTATTCTATTCTGTTCTATTCTGTTCTATTCTATTCTATAGTCTATAGAGTGTTCTATTCTATTCTATTCTATAGTCTATAGAGCTATTCTATTCTATTCTATAGTCTACAGAGTATTCTATTCTATTCTATTCTATTCTATTCTATTCTATTCTATTCTATTCTATTATTCTATTCCTATTCTATTCTATTGTCTATAGAGTATTCTATTCTATTCTATTCTATTCTATTCTATTCTATTCTATTCTATTCTATTCTCTCTATATGGAGTCTATATGTTCAAATATCAATGCCTAGGCCATCTAACCACTGAAGCACAGCATCCTTTCTATAAATAGTCACTAAACGAATGATTGTAAGTTGAGGACTACCTCCAAACATTGTTTTGGGAGGTCACTGGGCGATATTTTTCATGACCCACAAAATGTGAGTTGCAGACATATCCTCAAGAGACGTAGCAGGTCTTTTTTTGCCCCCACATCTCCACCCAGCTCCTCAAGGCTGCCTCTCGCCCACCATCACCACCTTTTCTGTCTCTAATCGGTGGGTGGAAAATTCTGGTCATCGGTTTGTGTGGTGTTTTTTTTTTTTTTCTCTCACTCCTTTCCGCCGTTTGAAAACCGGTGGTTCTTCCTCCCCAGCTTCCCTTCACTAGAACAAAGCCTGAATTGAAAATATGAGCAAAGAAAAGCCCCCAGACGCTGAGCTGATCGCAGGAAGAGAGGAGAGGAAGAGAAGAACAGAAAAAACAAAGCAAAAGAGACGAAACGGCATCACCCGAGGCATTTCAAGCAAAGACTTGGAGGCTGCTTGGGAGATTCCCCCCCCCCCCGTCTTTCGAACCGGGGTTATGATTTCTTTGCTTGTTGGTTAATGGTGAGATGTGTTTGTTTATCAATTATGAAATTTATTTTATTTATTGTGAAATTTATTTATGGAATTTATTTGCCGCCCAGCTCATATCCAACGGCTCTGGGGTGGCTTACAACGTAAAAACATTAAAGCAGTGTTTCTCAACCTTGACCATTTTAAGGCATGTGGACTTCAACTCCCAGAATTCCACAGCCAGCATTGCTGGCTGTGGAATTCTGGGAGTTGAAGTCCACATGCCTTAAAATGGTCAAGGTTGAGAAACACTGCATTAAAGCATTTTTAAAAAAAAGACATTAAAATCGACAACCATAGAAATACAGCAGATAGAATCAGGAACAAACAAAATATTTCGAACAGTTTTAAGGTCCTAGGGCAGTGATGGCGAACCTTTTAGAGACCGAGTGCCCAAACTGCAACCCAAAACCCACTTATGTATCGCCCGGTGCCGGGTGGGTGTGGCCCATTGGGCGGGCGCAGCTACAGTGGGCGTGGCAGACTGGGTGGGCGTGGCCACTGCATGGGTGTGGCTGCAGTAGTTATGGCAGACTGGGTGGGCACGGCCTGGGTGGGCGTGGCCACCTCGATGTTGCTTATGGGGAGGGACACCTGTGGGAGCCGGGCAGG